GTGATGTTGGCTTTAATGTAGGTGCACTAGTTGRAGTYTTTAMTTTTAATGACTTTACAGGCAAAACTGTACTGCTTTTTAARTTCTGTTCATCCGACTTCATAGMAGATGAATCACCTACTGAAATCTTGACCTCAATCGGTTTATTAGTCACGTTATGAATGATGCCCGGCGGTGATGTTGGCTTTAAWGTAGGTGCACTAGTTGWYGTTTTTATTTTCGACTTGCTCTTGATGTCCAGGTGTGCAGGTTTGGTACTTTGAGTTGTTGTCACCTCTGGCTGTACWTRAAGTAATATTGTCTCAATATACGTTTTATTTGSGATACCACTTCTGTGGTTAGCWGACGTTTTAGAAACATAGGCTTTAGTAATAGCGTTTGGACTGTKTATTGATTCTTCCTCCTTTTTCTGTGAAGATAACTTACTACTAGGATAGGTTGGATGCATGGATATATCTTTGTCCCTTTGATCCCTTTTGGTTTGGTAATTTGAAGAGCTATTACTTGGAACTGCTAGCGGGGTAGGCACAGCCGTAGTATATTTGAGTTTATCTTCCTTAATGCTGTCTTGAACATTCGTTTTGGCACTCGATGGAGATATTCGGTCACCAACTTGAAGCTCAGAATCATCATGACCACTTCGATCAAATTCATTTGCGCCTTTTGAAGTGTCTGTARTTGAATTTGCTGAAGGTGTAGCTGTCGTATCTTTCTGTTTATTGTCTTGAAGAATGACTTTAATTTCTGCTTGCATCTTACCAATGGATGAAGGCATCTCAACCGCTGGATTCTCGGACATATCATTTTCACCTTGGCTAGTCTGAACTTCATCTTTAGATGTTCTTGTTTCGGAAATTGAACGTGTTGGAAGAGCTTTAAAGGGTTTATAATCYTCATCGYTGATATTAAGATTAACCTTCACATGCATATTTGCACTTGATGGCGCAATTGYCGATGCAGTTGATGATGTTGGAAGAGCATTGAAATGCTTTGGTCTAGCATATGTGAYATTGTTWTTCCCAACCATTSTAACCTTAACCGTAGAAGTTGGTGAAMACAAAGGCGCCTGAGTTACCAAATGCTCAGACAAGGYTTTTGGCTGTTTGGGCCRATGGTCTTTWAAAATGACTTCAATTGTTTCCTTTCCAGAAGAAGATGAAGCCTTATTCAGTAATTCAGTTGATGAAGGCARAWCCTTAGTTTCATCCACATTTGAAGAACTGAAGTTTGATTTAACAGATTTTGACACAGTTACATGGTTGACCTTGTTTGGAGCTGCCAAAGAACTTGTTGKATTTACAAACAGTTCTTCACTTTCATCAAACGATTGTGCAACAGTTGGTTTTTCTTGTGTTACTGTAGGCAGGACTTTGGTTRGTAAAAGTTGAGGCTGTATTGTAGACGTGGGGCTTGGAGAAGATGACCAAGTGCTCAACATAATGTCATCATTATCAGTTCGGTCGTCCCTTCTTCCTCTCTTYTARACAGTAATTGGGCGATACTTTGTATTCCTCGCRGGCACAGGRTCACATAACCATTGATTTTTACATTTYACCATAAAGCATGAGCTTCCRAGGAGAAGAACTACGTCACAGTCACTGTCTTGACAGCAYTGCTTGGTACATACTGTAATGTTTGCSTTTTCATCAAGTAGCGTGAAACMTCCTGCATGTTGACCCCCTCGAAATGTRAGATTGTGWAGTGGCTTGTCAAATTCGCAGGAAATGTTGTGTGCATGCTCGTCTACGCTGGACAAATTACGGTTTTTACTTATAGTGCCCGTTTGTGTCATATTCTGAGGCAGRGACTGYACKTTTYARCCTTGTTTATCCTGRCCAGAAARAGCTACWTGATTCGAAGTAATTGTTGCTTGYAGCCTGTTTTCACTCTCCTGTGGTTGTAGCTTTGCTTGAGCATAATGTTGSGGAACGTTCGGGCTGCTTTCATTGATTGATMGGTTATTTTCAGAGAGGTTAGCTGTTGTTGAAACACTCTCGTTCTTTGGGTATTCAACGGCTGTTTTCTTGGCATCGAGATGAACTTTCAAAGACACAATTGCATTGTTCTCAGGTGTTATCCCTGGTGTTGAATTTCTTTCGGCTTGTTRCATAGATGTGACTGTTGGATTATTATTATRAAGTTTTATGGCAACTTGTAAGCTTCCTTTCTCCACTGTCGAGACAGTTGGTGTAATAGCGACTTTAAGAGCACTTTCTTGCTCGACTGTACGATTGGAAGTGTTTATCGAATAATGTTCAGTATCATTCGATGTTGTTTCATTGTTATATATTATGGRTTTGTCTGTAGTAGGGTGCTTCTTTGKTTCAAGCTCAATAGGTTTCTTGGGTAAAGTAGAGAGAGGCGTATCTGMTTCACCACTCCKAGAAAGCTCCGACATAGCGGAATCAATATCTTCCAATGTATCATCCTCGGATTTTCCTCTCGACTGATTAACATTAGYCTTCTGCATATAGACTAAAACAGGTCTATAATTGGAATGCCTTGCTCGTACAGGCTCGCAAAGACTTTTGCTATTGCATTTAACTAAGAAACATCTTCCCATAACAATAAACACAAGATCACAGTTATCATCASCGCAGCAGTGGCTCTGGCATTCTGCTGTTGAGGTGACATTTCCAGCAAAAGTAAAATTTCCAGCYTGATACCCAGCTCTTAAGGTGAAGTCTTGGTAGGTTTTCACTGGACGACAGTCTGATTTGTTATCYATAGTTTCGTAGTCTCCACTCTCGCCAYACTCTTCGCTAGSGTTAARYACTCCAATGCTTGATGACTTGATGCTTCGATTTGTAGTRTTCGGATTATTRTCAGTGAATGTAACRTTGACCGTCACACGATCATCYTCGTGTTCTTTGTGGTGTTCAGATCGTCCTTGCGAGGTATCAAACCACTCTTCTCTAATAACAGTATCAGGTTCCTCTTCATTAACGATCTCTGTTTCCGAGGTTGCTGTCTCAGAGAGAGTCGATTCTGTTGAACCTTTGGATGTTCTTCCAGTGGTTGCGAAACGCAGCGCCTTTGGAGTAGACATTTTTGAAGGGATGCTTAATGATGGCACTTTTGTATGAGGCATTGTAGGCCCAACCTGTCAAATGTATTATTTAAGGAATAAAAGACGAAATTCCGTGTTTGATACTCTGATCAAAACACGCGGGATGTAGGGAGAGCACGAGAGAAGCGTAGGAAACCACGACGGGAAGCGGAGTGGTTTCCAGCTTTTCGAGTGCTCTCCCTACATCCCAAGTGTTTTGATCAGAGTATCAAACACGGAATTTCGTCTTTTATTTCTTTTCTAAAATTAAAAGAAAAAAAGAAATTTTTGACGTGCGCGAGCGTGTTTTGATACTGTAATCAAACATGGTTTTCGACCAATCACAGCGCGCGTAGTATCCTAAATATTTTAGAA